GACCATTGCCAGTGCTAACGCCGCGTTTCTATTTTGCAATGATCAACTTCTTGTCAATTTCAGACGGGTCTCGTTTCGAGTTGTTCACGTCATACTCGAGAATACGAGTTCCGGAAGGGGAATCGTACGATCCAACGGGACCATTTGGACACTTTGCCACGTACAGCGTTGAAACCAGGGAACGAGTGCGATGCATTAGTGCAGAGACAGGTAGCGTTTTAAGCTATACAAATTTTTTTGTCTATCTACTTTTATTCTTCAGTGGCATGCGCCATATTTGATTTACTTGGTTCGCTTGATCCGCTTGATTGTCTTGATCTACTTCGCCATTATACAGTGAACTGACTAATAGGGAAGTGGATCAAGTGGATCAAGTGAATGGACAACTTTTTTGTTTGTCAGGTCACTGAATTGAGCAGTGACGAAGCGGATCAAGTCGATTATGTATGGCGCGTGCCAAAGATATCAATAATCATTGGACGTGGGAGCTTTGTGGAGTCTACTTGAAGGCAGTGTCCCGGAAGAATTTCATTTTTCAGTTTTTCACATTTTCGGGGCCTTCTTGCCATGAGTAACCTCTGCTTTTCCGGCGTGATAGCGAAGTTGAGCCTTTTACAAAGCTTTCCTGGTGCGCATCGAGGAATGCGTCGGAACTCTTCCGCTCCCCGCCTCCTTCGTTTCGGACTCCGCCCACCTCGTATTTTCTACTGAATGCGGACCTGGAAAACTTTGAACAGGCTCATTTTCGCCATTTGTATGCGCGGAGAAGCCCAGATATGGGTTCTTCATGGCGAGAAGGCCCCGAAAATGTGATAAACTAGAAAACGAAATTCTGCGCGGACACTGGCTCTGAGTATGGCAGTGCCAAAGTTATCAGTAATCATTGGACAGGATTGAGTTTTACGGAGTCCTCTACTTTGCGTCTCTAAACTTTCTCAGTGGTACCTTTTTGAGGCGTGCCAATGTCTACACAGTGGGACCCCACCCCGTATTACTATCCAATCCAGATTGCCCAGTATGGACTCCAGCATTACAGCAGAATGATGGGTGAGTACATGCATAAGCCCGCAGAAATTATGGGAGTAATTTGCAGTCAATAAATCTGATAGCGAAATTGTGCTGAAAGGATTGGAGAGTGCTGAATGGAAAGGTTCGGCGGGTTTTGATGAATCCAGTGAACGAATATTCTATCATGATGAGGAGAAAGGCGATGTGGTCAATATAACTGCTAGCGGTTGGTTTTTTTACAGCCTCATCTAAATCTTTTTATAAAGTTCATTTTTGTGTTACCCTGAATTGCAAGGTTTTTCATACCTTTTTTTCTTAGGCGACCTGCGAAATGCTGGTTGCTACGTGTTTTTGGATCCAACACCACGCCTTCATGTGGTGTCCTTTGATTGGCTGCCTATCGAAAATGCTTCCTTCACCATTTTGGTGAAAGTCATCGAGTCAGATTTGCTCGTCCTGCTCAACTACGTTACACAGCATGATCCTCGATGTGTGTGGAATGAT